TTTTATAATATGAGGTAACAGAGGAAAAAGAACATCTACCAGTGTTTATGTAAAATGGCATGGATGAAATTATGCCATCACAAAATAAGATGACAAGGTCATTTTTCCTTAGGTAACAAAGTAGAGATTTAAACAGTTATCCTAAGTATCTACAAATGGCGCTGATGGCATAGTGGGCTGCTAATCTCAAGGTCAGCAGTTTGAAACCACCAGCTGCTCCACAAGAGTTCCAGTCTTGGAACCCCACATGGAGGGCTCTATACTCTGTCCTTGCAGGGGTCCTCCAACTTTTAAACAGGGGGCCAGTTCACTGTCCCTCAGAACCGTTGGAGAGCCGGACTATAGTTTTAAAAAAAGCTACGAACAAATTCCTATGCACTCTGCACATATCTTATTTTAAAATTAAAAAACAAATGGGGCCAAAATGCCCGGCGGGCCGGATAAGTGTCCTCAGCAGGTCGCATGTGGTCCGCGGTCCGTAGTTTGAGGACGCCTGGTCCTATAGGATTATTATAAGCTCAAATCGACCCAATGGGGTTGAGGGTTTTTATTTTTCAATTTTGTCTGAACAATTGGTCAGGGTGAAAGGTTGGCAGTATATAGAAAATTCACTCTGTATTTGTTTTATGTTTCAGTTTGGGAATGTAAATGATTTTTGAAATAGTCAGAACTCTATTATTGATAACATGCAAACAGCCCCAAATAAATAAATAAATCAGTTCCATTGACTGATTCAGCTATTTCTGGCATATTAATAACTGACTCAGTTACTGGTTCACCATTGTATAAAATCAACCATAAATGTTCTATTAAAAAACAAACAAAAGCTGGACAGCAATTGATTAGAAGGAGCCAAGGTATTCAACTCTCCACAGGTGGACCATGTTCACATTAAACAATCGATGCTTGGCCATGTGACCATCATGCTGTGCTTCTTGAAGCACTTGAGAGAGTAACAGCAAACTATCAGAGGCTAAGGATTTTGGTTTTCAATGTAAACTGCCCAGAAAGAGCAGCTGCACAGATAGGCACTTGTATATTTTAGTAATGGTGTTGATGAAGGTGATCAAATGCTTCATTCAAAAGGCAGTAAGTAGTACAGAATACTGCTGAGCTCAATATAAATTGTGTCTTTTGGAACACAAAAGATATTTATGGTTATAACTATGTTGGTCCTCATTTTGACAATAGTATAATGCCTTTTTTTGTTGTTAGCTTAGATCAGGTTTTCATTTTTGGGGGAGGTGAAAATGTCCTCTTTAGAGGAATTATTGAATAAGTGTGTTTTCTATTTCTGACTGGATTTTCTTTTTCTTGTTTTCTCAAAAAGTCATTTTACCTGCACATGGCGCCTGTAAGGTAATGAAGTAAACCTGTAAGGCTTTATGATAGATCTTCAGAAATACAACAGGACTGAACCGGGAGGGAAAACCAGTCCTTTCTGAAGTTTGCTTGTGAAGAATTGTGCTGTTTTCAAAACTACCATGTGAGAAAGACAGAAACAGAAAGGGTTGGGGAGAGTTGGAAGAGAGAGAGAGAGAGAGAGAGAGAGAGAGAGAGAGAGAGAGAGAGAAAATGAATTAGTTTTGCATTGGGTTGTAACCAGAACTGAAGATGGCAGTGAAAATGTAATTAATTTGGAGTTTTTCATCAACATCTCTGGATGTCTTAGCTTCACCCTTGCTGCTGCCCAGAGAAAGGCCTGGCAGACTGCTTTTGTACAAGATTTACAGACTTGGAAACCTAGGGGCCAGTTCTTTGTCCGATTAAATTTTCTCTGAGTTGAAGTCAACTCAACAGCAATGTTTATATAATTGCTGTTATACATGTATTAAAATATTTCATTTCAAAATTGTCTTCTGTGAATGCATAGCCTCTATTTTGCCCATAAGGAATCTTTATGTGGTACATTCAGCTGACAACTAGCTGAAAGGTTGATTGGTCAAATCCATCCAGAGGATCAATCTTACTCTTCACACATGCAGTTGACGTGAGGTGGAATCCACTCAACAGAAACTAACAACAATTACATCTTCCACGGGAAGTCCATTTCCTATCTAATAAAGCTGACCATGTTTTCCATTTAACCTCAAATGATAGGATATAATTTAGAAATGTTTATTTCCGTTTAGACCCTGCTATCACATACGATGAAATTAAATCTTATTTAGATTGATATAAATACAAATGAAAAGCGCTGGCCTGCCTTACTTATAGCTTTCCTTCAGAATGTTCTAGCTATTGTCCATGTAAGAGTTGTTTTGAGGTTGTGAGAGAGTCTAAGTCTGTATTCTTCCAATGATGGCTCAGAAAGAGATTAATTCATGGCTTCAAATTGGTTCATTCTGGTTTGAACCCCTGCTTAGAATTTGGATTTTCGCCCCTCATAAACGGGATCAGAAACTACATTCTAACAAGAGCCCCAGGTGACTCTTATGTGCACATTTTAATCAGAGCCAAAACCTCACTGCCACCGCGTTGATGCCAACTCATAGTAACCACATAAGATGGGGTAGAACTGCCCCGGTGGGTTTCCTAGACTGAAATTCTTTATGGGAGTAGAAAGCCCTGCCCTTCTCCCGGTTTTGATAAGAACCAACAGCAATTATCTGGTTAAAATGTAGATTATGATATCTGCGGTAAAACGGGACGTTCTAAACACAGGTCAAACTGCAACGAACCCACTGGAAGCCCAGGATCAATGAAGAGTGGTATCTAAAGAGGGGCTCTCCTGCCAGCGTCCTATTGAGAACTACTGTGAGCAATAACAGAGAAACGAGTAAGTGAAGAAAACCATTATCAAGTGAAACTGCCCTTTCCAAAAGCACCGATCTTTTTCAAAACAAGTGTTGATATTCTCTGAAAGCCTCCATTCTGTGCCCAGTGCTATGCTACATCTTGTAATGGTACAATCAGAAAGTCCTGGTGCTCTGCTCTCACACTATATTCAGCTGTGATTAATCCTCTCCATGGCTTTTCTGCCTCTCCGGCTGTCCTAAGGACCCTAAGTGCAATCCATCGGGCTCCGTATCACATGGAAGGATGTGCAATTAACTCATTAATGTGTCATGTTCTAAATCTCAATAACCAGTGATTTGGCTTATCAGATTGATGGCTAAACAGAAGCATGGAGCTTTCCAGGTGTTACAGGAAACTTCAGTAAATTAGTATGTTTGCCCCACACCAATTCATTTACCTATTCATCATCTAAAAATATCTGGGAGTAATAAAGAATTATAATTATGAAGTTGGTTTTAAAATTTCACAACTACATTTCCAATTGAAATATGATGTAACTTTCTTTGAAAAGGGGGTGTCTTTTATCTTAAGCCTATGGCTCCTCTATTTGCTTTGTTTAAATTTCCTCAAGCAATTATGGCAAAATAGCAAGAACTAATATGGCTAGCATAAATTTGTCTGTAAATGTCATGAAAATAAAATTTACAAAAAACATTACTATTATGAATTTAGGTTGACCTTATCCTTATGCAATGAAAGTGATTTTGCCTAATACTGAGCTACATTCCATTTCAGATTTCTTATTCCAAAGGGTGTCTCAAATTTCTAAGCTGTTCAAGTATTCTGCCATTTGTGTATATGTAATAAAAGTCTTTAAAATTAAAATGATAATCCTAAGAAAAGTAAATGCATGAAAAATGTGGTCTGACTATATAAAAAAAAAGAGAGTTATATAATTCTACTTGAGTGAAATCTTTCATCTTTGATTTACAGGTTAGAGTCCTCTAACTAAAACCATATTGTTCCATATCTTTCATATCATAGCTTTCCCTAAACCTTGTTTTAATTAAGGTTTCTTTCAGATTTTGGAATAAAAGCATGACAATCTTCACTTATGGCTTTAATATATCCTTTGAGTTAGGGAAATATATAAAAAGAAACACCGACTCTTTCAAAAGCATTGTCAGATATTAAACACTGCGAGGCATTCTACTTCACTGTCTTTACGCTTGAGTTAGACATTGAAGGAGAATTTGGGGAGGTAGAGGATAACCAATTTATAGTTTGTAAATTCCTTTTAATCTCCCAAATCAAAGAAATGTCTTTTGTTTTTTAACCTTTGACACTAAGGCAACACGTGCAAAGGGTTGTGGTCGCTGTTTTCCCACAAAGGCACAATTCAATTCACGATGACTTCACAGGCCCGATGCCAGCCTTCACACATCTCGAAAATGTTGAAACTTCAGAGGCATTACTTACACCATGTTCATCTTCATATTTTCACAGCAAAATGAACACAACATCAGGCACAGCAACTGTTAAGTTGCAAAGTAAACAAAATGAACTAACTACTGAAAGCCCCCAAGAAACCAGGGGAGATTATGGGTAATCTTGAGCTTTAGTAAAGGAAGGAAGGATGAAAGGTAAGAAGAAAGGAAGCAAAGGAGAGCAGAAAATGAAGAGAATTCTTGATAAATTTGGAACAAATTAAGACCATATTTGAAAAGTTATCCACTAGAAATCCCCATAGAATACACGCTCAAAGTTACTGTCACTGGGGCAGGGATGTGTGTGGGGGAGGGAGACATCACATTCAAATTACAATTGCAAACAGCCCAGATGGGAGAGATGTCAAGAACACAGAATCATTTTTCTTAAAAATTGTGATGTAAAATATGGCACCATTATATATCGCGTGTGAGGTTCCTTTGACATTTGGAGTTTGAGATACAATGTGGTTTCGCTGCACTGAAAAGTTTGAGTTTGAGATACAATGTTGCGTTTGAGATACAAAAGTTGGAGTTTGAGATACGATGTGGTTTCGTTTCAGCGCCTCATCCTCATTGCTCCCCGTTTCGTGCTACCTAGTCAGAGTGGAAGTGTCTTCAAAGGATGGAGAGGGTGAAGAAGGGAGAGAGAGAGATGTATGGAACTGTTATTCATTCGTAGGCAAAAGCAAATCCTGTAACCAATTTTAAACTTAAAAAACCATAGACAGTAAAATACTGATTACAACATCATACTTATATATTCATCACGTTTTGCCCCAATTTTTGCCGGCTGTTGTACCTATGATAATTAACAGCATGAAATACTGTATTGGATGTTTCTAACTCATCCTTGGAGCCTGTGAGTGTGAGTGGGTCACTCCACATATTGAAAGCCTGCTGGCAGCGGTTTCATCCAATCGTGGTTGACTGTAACTTTAGAATCACAGTGGTTACATTTCGGGAATCGTTATTGCCCTTTCAAGTTCATCCCAAGAACAAGTGAAGCTGCTGTTCAGAACTCTGTGCCCCGTGTTTATGTTCCATCGAATCTGTGCCACCCAGGTAGCAGACAAGGCATGTCTGAGGGTGCTGGGGTGGGGGGTTGGTGGGGGTACACAATGATGTCACACACAGGAAATGTCAGGGGGGCTTGGCACTTCACAAGGTTGGCTCTTCTTCCATAGGCTCACCAGCAGTTCTGTAAAAATAAACAGGCAATCAGAATCCAGCATAAGAGTACACAATGACATTGTAGATTTTCATGCATAATCAAAGCTGATTTTTCAGCGCTCTCTGATGTTTATTTGTGTTATTCAGTTATCCATAAATAGAATTTCTTTCCTAGGAAGTATAAACAAATGTCAAGCGGAAAAACGTTTTAGATCCAAGCAATCATTGGAAATGTCCCTGTTTATATTAAAACATGTCAGAATATTTTATAACTCTAGATTCAGAGAGGTCCATGTTTTGTGTCTAGTCTGGTTCAATACTTTATTGAAAAAAATGACTCTAATATTTTAGTTTAGGAGTGATTTCCTAGGGAACCAGCTTTCGAATGAGAGCAAAAGACCCAGTTAGCTTCTGGAAGCAACTCACCAGGGCTCTGGTTTTTGCTTCTGTTCTTTCATAACAGGATTGGCTGCCTGCCGGAGGCATTTCAAATCAAATTCTGAATTTGATTAGCAAATCGCTGCTACAGACCCAACGTTTTTACAAGAAATGCACTATGGTAGTGTGTAAATAGTTTTCCTTCGTCATCATCTGTGAAGTGTTCTGCTTGGGCAAAACCAAAACTAATTGCTTGAAAATTGATCCTTGAGATTTAACCTTAATTTAGTAACACTTTGAGGGTGTTTCAAGGCAAACTTCGAGAATGATTTTTTCATTTAGTCCAAAGGACCAAATTGGAGCAGCAATCCAAAGACAGGAGGTAGCTGAGTTACCGCGAAGCCTACTGGGGGTTGAGATGCCAGGGGAACTGAGATGGAGTCTGGGACCTGCTGCTTGCTAGCGTTGGATTGGGAACATCTTGCCACTTCTGTGAAGCTCTGATTTCAAACGTAAAGGTAGATGAGAGAAAATACAGGCATTTCTTGCAGAATTAAAGGCTGAGGAAATGAGGAGCTAACAACAATGTGTACGAGAAAGAACAAAAAGCTCTTAAATTAATTGTGGTGATGATTGTATCACTTCTTAATAAAATTGAACGATTAAATTGTGTGATATGTGAATAAAAAACAAAGGATATGAAATTGATTTGTAAACAGCCATTATGACCCATGAATAATTTAATGCTTGTCCCTGGACCGGCAAAGATATGCATAAAAATATGTTGAGTAACACACAGGAAAAGAATTAATCTCGTTTTACTAGAAGGCGACATCACCACTTGGATGTTTGTTCTTCCTGAGTGGTAAACTAATAGGTGCTTTTCATTTTACATTTAACTGTATTGTTTATCTACATGCTAGTGTTTTATAATATGCTACCTTTATATCCAAAAAATGTTGTTCATGAAACAGCTGTTTATAAAGAAAAATGAACTGTTTAGCTATATAATTTTACAGATTTTAGGGGAAAAAAGACAAAATTTCAAAACACCCATAAAACATGAGTTGCTCTTTTAACTTTGGATTTTTTTAATAAATTTACACATCATGGTAGTAAAAAGAACTGGAATACATATTTGAAGAAATTAGGCTCCGGTGATTTCCCAGTATACATAGTGGAGGGACGGGAATAGACTGGTTACAAAATAAAGTACATTGGAGCAATGACTACTGGAGATCGAAACGATTAACCTGATTTGAACAGTTAAACCTTATCAGTTGACCCCTCCCCTACGCATTGGCCCTGATATGACTTTCAATATTTTCTGTGGGCTTTTCTTCTTCTTTTTGTTCATTTTGGGGTCATTGGGGACAGCCCTCTTGAGTTGCCTCTTGAGTTGTTGCTATATGTTTATTCTGTTTTTCAGTACATGAAACCAGGATTGATGAACCTGTAGAGATAGCAAGGAGAATACTGGTTCCTGGGGACTACAGTGAGGGAGGGTGTGTGTGAGGGAGGGGGATGATATCAGGAGTTCACGAAGAAAGAGAATGTTTTGAAACTGATTGTGGTAGCAATTGTGCAATACTGCTTGATGTGATTGAATTATGGAAACATGATCTCTGTATTACCTCCCAATAAAAAGATTTTCAAAAAAAAAATTAAACCATGACAATCAAAAGGTAGTTAGTTATTACTTAATGCTACTAAAAAGAGAACATTTCAAAAGTCTATGTGGAAGAAAAAGAAAACACTTCTTAGGAAATTATATTTTATCCAATAGTGTGTAGCATAAAGAGGTATGAGCAAGTACTCAGAGTTTGTATGTATTTACTTCAAATCAGCCATACTTTATATTTTTATATTAAGGAAAATATTAAAGTTTTAGAAAATTGATTTAGTTTACATCCGAGAATGTGTAGACAATAACACTTAAAGAATCCTCAAACTGGGCATTCTCATGGAGACAAAATTTTCCTATTTCTAACTCAAAGCCACAGCGGGACCCCATATCCGAGATTCAATTCGGCTGGAATGCCAGACACAGTGGTGTGTGGAAAATGCTCAAGGGGTCACAGATGTAAGAAAGCCTCCCTTGGTGGAGGGTCTTTGCCTTCTCCAGATGTACACATGGCCAGCCTCGGCTTTGAAGATGAGCTGGGTGTCTGGGCTGCAAGCCACTCATTGGCAAACTTTGGAGTTCTATTGAAATGTGGAGACTTGCATGCAGAGTAGAGAGCTCCACATCAGATGCCCCTCATTCCTTTCTCCCTTCTAAATCATTGCATTCTAAGCTGTCAGATACTTACAAAAAATCCATCCTGCTCTTCACTTTCTATTGCATCAGATGCATATCACATAAGTACCCAATTCCCCTTTATGTCTTCCCGCATGGAAACAGTGTGAGTTGCACAGCAAGTCAGAAAGCATGCTGGATCTCAAAATAGTTGTCCTGTGTTCCAGTCTCATCTCTGCTAACTTTCTAAAATTTAACTTTGAACAAGTCAACTTCTCTCAATTCTAATATTTTCTCTTTAAAAAGGGAACAACAACCCTGACCTCCTTTGTGAATAAGAGATTTAATGTGAGGGAGCATACTTTAACACACGAGTTCAACATGGACAGAATAAACGTACAGCTACAGGGCACTTCCTAGTCCATGCACTCCAATGACACTCTGCATTCCCAGGAGAGGACGCTGTGTCATGTGTTTTGTGTACACTAAAGAGTGCTAGTTTGCTTTCCAACACTGTGCCGTCGTCTGCTTTCCCACAGCTAGGAAGGCTACTATAGTTTCACATCTGGACCAATCCTGGCATTACCCAGCTTACTGGTTTTTTAAATTAATACTTACTGAGTGCCTAATAGGCATCCAAGCTCTGTTCTAATAATAATAACAACCATCAGCATTGAGTCAATTCTGACTACAACACAAATACAAAGTCCGAGGGGAACTGCTCCATACAGTGTCCAAGGCTACACACCTTTACGGAAGCATGTTGCCTCATTGTTTTGACCCCCAGCCGATCCTGCCCCCTTGAGAGATCATATTCTACGTCAATCTTACATTGTAGTTGAATTTTCATCACCAAATAGATATAACATTATAGCACAATACTATTTTGTTGCTTTAATTTGCATTTGTCTGATAAATAATGAACTTGACATGTCTTTAAAGATAAGTCTTTCAAAATATTTCGTAAATTATAGTGAGAGACTTCCAACTCAGGATGTCTGTTTTAGGATATACTATCTATACATGCACACACATACATGAGGGCGTCTCAAAAGTTTCATGAAAACAATTCCATATCTTAAAAAAAATTATCCCATTTTCTCACAAACTTTTTGAAGTCCTCTTGTTTATATGCTTTAGGAAACTATATGTATATATAGAGAGAAAAATTGAGAGAGACAGAAGGCATTTTTGTCTCTGCTTATGCTATTTTTGCCATTTAAAAATAAATGACAT